ACAGCTTGTACTTTTTCACTTAGGATGACCTTGCTTCATAATCCAAAAAGAGATTAACCCCAGTCTCTACTTGCAAATTTTGCTGCAGACTTGAGTTTCGGTTAACATGGTTCTTTGCAGACTTACATTGAGATATTTATACTCAATTAGACCTAAAAGCAAAGCATGCTCAGTGCTGGCTGCCCATTGTTTTATTTAGAGGATTTTATTTACTTCCAGATCCGATTTGCCTCTCCAGACCACAAGTTAATTGCCTAGTCCATCAGTGGATGCCAGTCACTGCCTTTTTAGCACTAAAATGAAATTCAGTCACTGTCATGTTAAAGCTTCTCACCCTGTCCTTTTAATAAGAGCTGCTTCCAGTGCTGTGCTGTCACCACATTAGCATGGCTTGGGATAGAGGTATGCCAAAGAAATAGAACAAGGCCATTCCTCAAGTGAGGGTGGAGGGTGTTTGGGTTGTTTTTTTTAATTATTAAACACTGCCATAGAGCTGCGACATCCTCTTATCAAGAGATACTAGGGGGATGGTGCCAAGGCCCCCTTCTCTCAGCCTCCTGCAGAACAGCACCAGCCCAGCAGGGAGATGGCAGGAGCCTTCCCCACCCTTGTGGCACTGATCCCAGCTGGGTCCTTGGGTGGCTGCCACTACATGCCACCTCTGTCCCACTCTGCAGACTAGTAAGAATAGTACAAAATCCAGAAGTCAAAAAGTAAAAGCTCTTACTCTGCCCTTACTAGGGACAAATGAGGTATTTTAAGCATCCTCTCTAGTGCAAACCTCCAGCTTCATATATGCAAGCTATGTGAGAAATATTTTCTGCTGGCTAGCACATCTTTTACAAAACATTCACATGACAGCCACTTATTTAGCAAATACCATCTATCCTGGAGTGGAGGTTCCAACTCCATCCAGCAATGAGGAAAAAAGGAAACACTTCTCTGCCTGAACATGCACCAATCTTTTCCCACACTTGGGAACAAGGACAAAGATGGAAAGGTGAGAATATTAAGAATAGCAGCCTTGTTTGGCTCGGAAGAACTACAAGCCCACACAGTTAAGTGCAATGTGCTGCCAAGTACATAAACCCTCTTCATCAAGCACCACTTCTGTAGCTTTTGCAGAATACTTTCTACTCCATCGAAATGCTAAGTCAACAAGACTTAAGTCTAGTAGGTGGTTTGCAGGACAGTAGCCTAAGCAATCATTTCAACCCTAACCCCTCCCAGGCTGATAAGAGATAGGAGCCATTTATTTGAGTCACTTTTACTATGTGAAACTCATAGTTTCATTGTACTTCTATTGATGCTGTAACTGTGATTAACAACAGCATAAAGCCTTCCTAACAGTCATGTTCTCAGTACTCCAAGCTCTCCTTGCATGGAACTTACATTTAGAAGATGTACCCTGAAATCTGTTGTATTAAAAAAGCTCATTAATAATGCTTATTAAGTAAATCAGGGGCTGTGGCAGCTGAGACATTAGCACTGACAATTAGCATTAGCAGAGCCCATCCACTGCCTTCATCTGAAGCCCCACCTGCCCAGAGAACAGAGCTGAATTTGTGATGATCACTCTCCCTGTTTACACAAAGTTGCCAGACAACATTTAACCTAAGGCTGTTATAGTGCAACAGAGCACTTTAATCCCTTTTCATTCTGTCACATGCAATTGTAATTTTATGCCTCATTTCCTTGACTGTGTAAGGTGATGTGTACAGAATACAAAAAGCGTAATTGCAAAAACTGCCTCACTTCAAGTGGCCTCTGTTACATCTACAGATACTGCCGCTCTGCAGCAAACAGCTGAGAACCTGAAAAGTCCTTGACTGTCCTGGCAGCAAATATAAACATCGGTGTGTTATCGGCCGCCTTCTGACACAAATCCAAAACACAGCCTCACATACAGCTGCTACAAGGAAAGTGAACTCCATCCCAGCCAAAAACAGGATAACCTGTTACTTGCAGAGTTCTCTTTCCAAGAAACACCCTTTTTCCTCCCTCAATATTCAACAACCCCAAAACTACATACTCCTAGTGCTCCTGTAAAACCACCGTGGAACTTCCAACCACCAGAACACCAGCTCCAGCAGCAGGAAGAATCTGCTCCACTTTGTGGGAGTTTTCCTAATATCCTTTTAGCCTGCTGTGTTCAGAAAGGACAGGCTCCAGCTTCACTGTAAATACTCCTCAAAGGCTTTTTGTAACTGAATCACAAAGTAAAAAGAAAGATCTGATTTTTTTTTTTTACGGTAATGTTTTAACACAAATGCTGGATGTTGCTGACAGATTTAAATAAAGCCAGGTTTTAATCCCCAG